AGGTAGATGCAGATGATGAGTCCCAAGGAAGACAAAACGCGCATCCTGGGTTCTACTCCTATCCACTATCTATCATCAAGAAAATTAGTGCTAGTCTAGTTTTTTTGGAATGTACTGCTTTTCCTCTGTGCTCGAATTCACCTGAAAAGTAAAATATTTGCAAGTGGCCTACTTACACTAAATGCGTGCTGGATGGTGAGACATAAATTCCCTGCTAGGTGATAATTTATGACATTAATAATGATAGTAGTAGTAGTAGTAGTAGTAGTAGCAGTAGTATAGTTATAAATCTCAGGATAAAATTTTGACCTGATAGAGTTCAGTAAATTGAATTATCTGGTAAATGGATTATAAATGAAATGCATTTGTAAGCTCCTAATGAGGCGAAAAAGTAAATTCCTGACGTCGTCGCTGTAGCGTCTTCAGAGAATAAAACCTGTACAAGTTATTGCATTTTTAAATTGCAGATGGTAACGACTCATTCAGACCACATTGTTCATACAAGTTCAAGTTGGTTGGATAGTTAGACTATAATTTCTATGTTGCATGATTAAGTTATCCATTTCTTTTTGTAGTTTGAAAATCTTTTATGAATATCCTTTATATTTTCAATATCAATTCTGTGTTAAACGGAATAAACCCCGATTGTAGATTTGATTTATAAATTCTCCATTTCTACAGGATTATTTGGAGGTCATTTTGTGTACGTTGCATATTCTTTAACAAGAATGTGGATCTTGCAGGATGATTCCTCAATTATAATCAACATTATAATCGACACAGCCTAATATATAGACACAATTCTGTGTGGAAGTAAAAAGAATTTTATATTTTAAATGAACTGAAGCATTCCTGAGAGTGAGTGTTAGTTGTCTTGTAGAAGGCTGTGATTCGGAGTTTTCTTAAAATATTTTGTAACGCTTCAGTTTCACTTTGGCGGAGTAGCAGATTTGATTCATCATTTGATTTTCCTCTTTGGTTCTTATGCTGTCAGTTTTTAATCTCTTGAATGATATTCTGAGGGTAGTTATTAGGATGCATTTTTCTTACACACGGACATACGCTCACATTTTCACATTGAACTCACTAACTAATCGCTGATAACGACAACCTTTATGCCCGTATTATTACCATCACAAGGACAATGCCGTCTGATCATTTTGTCTCTATTTACTGTTTAAACATCCGATAACTTGTACATATTCTATTCTCTGAAGAAAGCGATCATGAAGAGGTTGTGAAATATCAGAAATTTAACTTTCTACTTCATCAAGATTTTATTCATATAATTCCTTTACAATAGCATATTGAGTATCAGATTACGAGAGTACATGGTGATCAGTAATAAATAACTCATATTTACTGTTGCTTAAGAGATAATATAAAAAGTGAGTTTCATCAGGGTATCATTGAACGCAACTCTGGGGAATTAATAATTTGTATGGGATTTCAGTGAAATTTACCATAGAAGTACACGAAGTTCTCACTTGTATTGACCTCTTAATGATGTCCGAAAATTCATCTTATTCGACAGTGTCAGACTAAAGTAATATCCCCTTGATAAATTTGAACTAAGTAATGAAAGATGGAGATTATCTGAAACATATAATGTATTGGGGCTATACACTTCAAACAAAGCTTAGAGCTAAATTAGGGGATATTGCTCACTAATTCCACAATCCTTGTCTAAGACAAGGCGGTATCCTAACACGTCAACATTTCAAAGCGTTAAAAAAATTGCTAAATAATCCTGATATTATGAATAAGTCGGATTATAAATATAAAATTTTATCCATTTATGGCGGACGTTCTCCCTCATGAAATACTTAATTTCGAAGGAAGAGTAAATCTATCTTGATGAAACTGGTCAACACTGGTCAATGCTATTAACAAAGAGGATTTTAACTACTTGAAACCTATGGGATCTAAGTATTCACACCTATACGGATTTCTTAAAACATATAAAATAAATATTCCACTCCATCTAACATTGTCTATGTGTCGGTCACCGACACATAAACTAGCAAAGTGGCTGGTAAAAACTCTTGGATCATATTAGAAGCTAAGTTTGTAAGTTTTCCTTGAAAGAAACATTTCAACTTGTTGACCAATCAAATGATATCAGTATCAGAGATAAGACTATTTATTCTTGTGATGTGAATTCTTTATTCACTGATGTACCACTGACCAGAACAACTGATATTCTTCCAGCAATTTCTTACTCTTCCATTCTCTTTATGCGCAGATAATATCCAGCTTCACTTCGAAGGCAAACATTTCCAACAGATTGATGGTGTTGCGATGGTTAGTCCTTTAGGTACTCTACTGGCTGATGTGTATATGTCATACATCGAAGAGTTAACCGAAGAATTGATTGGAAAAGCATGCTTTTATAAGAGATATATGGATGATATTTTTTATTTGTTGAGAACGTGAGGAGGTAATGTGCTTATTAGATAAAATGAATAATACACGTAGCCACATTAGCCTCCCTTACGAGGAAGAAGTGGATGGCGAACTATCATTCGTAGATATTGTGATTCGTCTCAGAGGGGATGGCTCAATCAGAAGATCTATTCACATGAAACTCGCTTGGACAGGACAATACCTTAGTTGTCATAGTTACTATCCAGTTCAATACAAGCCTGACTTAGTCAGCTGTTTATCTAATAGAGTTCAGTGTGATCTCACAAATGACACAAAAGAAATAGAAGAAAAATTCCTGATGGATACATTAGTGCAAAATAGATTTCCATTGTGTTGATTGCTCAGGGGAGTGCAACCAATCACATTTTGTCTAGTCCTGAGTGCAGACCGAATCCTGTGGATCATATTTGCAATGTGGCAACCAAGCTAGGAAGCTCAGCATCGCAGTGCACATTGGTAGATGTTAGTTGGTTGGAGGTAATCGGCAGGAAGCCCTGCTCGACCTAGGTTTCGTGCTGTTTGGCACTCGTCAGCAAGGCATATCTGCAACCTCAACGAAACTGATGTCCCACCTGAGATTCGAACCCGCGTCACCCAGTGTTGTAGTCAGCGACTTTACCACTGAGTTATTCGGGCCGCGACTAACCTCCTGTAGGACTGGGTTACATCTATTGATTGGTCACTAGAGAGCAACCAATTTCATGTTGTCTAGTCCTGAATGCAGACCGAATTCTATTGATCATATTTACAAAATGTATTGACAGATGTGAAATGGGCATAGCTCTGGCACCGATGAATTAGTATTTTGTCCTTAGGAAAAATGTGTATATCACATTGCTATACAGGGTGAATCGATTAGTGTAAACTTGAAGAAGATGTTCAAATCAGCTGTTATCAGGACATATAGCGTTGTCAAGGTCATCTTCGTAGACAAGATAAAGCCCATACTTCAATGCGAACATAAACAACATTGGAACGAATGTATTATATCCCATTATGTATATCAATGTACGTGTATGTGTGGACACACATATATAGGAAGGAGTAATCGTGACATGGACTTAAGGATGACTGAACATGTGCCTAAATGGCTCAAACAATAAATGATCTCCAACAGTTTAATAAATGCAGATGATAAAAGTCCTTCCTCATCGATGGGAAAAACACATATTAGAAATGGGTCATAAGATTGATATGAAGATAATCTTTACTGTACAGTGGAGATATGGTCAAGGAGGAATATCGAGATTTATGGAACCACTTGCTAACCATAAATTCAAACCCCTCCTATATATTTAGAAACACTTTATACTTAGAGATAGCATTCATCACGGACTGACATCAGTTAGAAGGACATCGGAAACCTAGAAGCACTGGAAATTTGTTTCATTCTAGCATGGAACTACTCAGCAGTGAAGATCCAATGAGAAGTGGTGATCAGTGAAGTCATCCAAGTCGAATATGAAGACAGTTACTCAAAGATGACAATACATATAGGTCGTGATATATCCTGAATTAACAGAAGTAGGAAATGTGAAACACTGGATTCCGATTCAGTGGCTCAGTGGTAACGTGTTGGACACGGAACCTAAAGATGATGGTTTCGATCCGTAACGGGGTGGGACGGGGTCATGGGTGCACACTGACATTCAGGTTTTCAATGTTCCTTCAAATGATATCAGTCTATGATAAATCCCAACCTAAAACCAATTAATAATACTCCAGATATGGATTCCATTAGCTTAATTAACCTTTCGAAGGTTTATTCAACAAGGTTCATATATGATCAGATTGTTTGAAATGTACATCAAATATGTTTCAGATAATCTTTGTCTTCTCATTACATTATTAAAGGAATATTATACGTTCTTCTTAAAACTGATTGTACTTCTTAATTAATCAACTCTAGGTAGTTACGTAACACTTTAGCAAAGATAGAATGACATATTTTACAGAATACAATGAATTCGCCTAAGTAATCTTTTTGTAAAAAATCCATTCTGTTCTAATGGTCATATGTAACAAGGTGATAATCTCACTGTATAAAGATAACTTGGATTTTAGTTATTACTACTTATTTTATTGGAACTTTCTTATACTGTATCAATTCTTTTGTTATCAGTTTGACTGTCTGAGATAACCATGATTCAGTAGACTTGTATTTATACTGAATAGAGTACTGAATTGGCAACCTATAGGTCAATGGATTGAATCCTCTAATGGCTCAACTTTTCACTTCATCTTCAATCATTATCCAGTACTAGTTCCTTCATCATTCTTTTGATAAGTGTAAAGACTGTATTTCTCTCTCTCTCTCTCTCTGTATATATATATATATATATATATATATATATATATATATATATCTTATAGTTTTATAGCCTGTACTCAGTTGAAAAGAAGGCGGAAAAAATACAATGAATTCATTGTATTCTGACTTATTCGTTGTTCTAATTTTATTAAAGTGTTAAGTAACCGTTTAAAAGACACTACTACACCAAGCAGTAAACTGTTTTAATGAAACAAATAGTAAAACAACAGTAATCATATTTGTATAAATAAGAAAAACTTACGAAAAACTTTGCTAAACAGTAGAAACTATAATGAGTTGAATGTGCGCCTTTTTATGGTCGAAATAGCATAATAATGAATAATAATTGAATTGGTAGTCATCCTTATCTATGATTGGTTGATGCAATATGTATTTCCTAAAAGCTGATTGGTGGAAAATTTTTATATGACTAAAACACTTAAAGCCATCAGTAAACTTGTTAAACACTAGGGAAAAAAAATGAATGATAATTTCGGATTCTTGTACGTATCTTATAAAATCGGTCATAGTTTAATAGCGTAACAGGTAAATTTAAAGGTAAGGCATTTAAGAAAAAAACTATTTTAGAAAATGCTTCGAAATGTACATAAGACAAACTGATCAAAATCACAGATATCTGAGATTAAAACGAAACTTCAGTCATTGTAAGTTTTTGACTAGTGACTACCCATTATTAGACTGTACAATCCATTGTATGCCTCTTCAGTTGGTTAAGAGTCCCATCTCCTCAAAATGTTCAACTATTTTTCACACAAGAGTTGCTTGAACAGGTCATTTCATGTAGGCATTATTATCAAACGCTGAATTAAAAACCTATAATAATTTTCTTTATCAGAAATATTATAAATAAAGTGAAAATGTCTAAAATGATGGAGAATGTTTGTAGTACAGGAGGATAATTTAAATGGTGTTATGTTTCTCTGAGCTGGATTGAATAATCCTCGAGCTCTCATTATCATTCGAGACAATATCATCAACACAAACTTCAGAAAGACGTGAACAATGATCCTCGACAGACAAAATACAAAGAATATCAGAGAACTTTTAAAAGCATGGTATTCTGGCCAGTTGTCAAACAACAGACATATTGACATTGACCCAATCTATCAACCAATAAGAAGGTCAGATTTTTGGTCATGGGAACAGCGAATCAAAATAAACCTCGAGACAATGACCCTGATGGAAACAATCAATCACGCATAAGACAACTAAATAAATTGTGAAAGAAACCTTGTCACTCACTTCTTCCTGAAGTTTGTGCTGATGATATTGTCTAGAGTGAGAACGAAAACCTCATGATTAAACAATCCAGCTCAGAGAGGACAACATCATTAAAAAATTCCTTCACAATGAGACTATTTGAGATTGCAGTCATTTGACAGATTGGTGTTGATGATACATTGTAGTGCTTAAAGGTGAAATGGAAACCTGGATCATGATAGGATTCAACACATTGGCGGTCAGCTTGAAACCTACCAAGATCTAGTAATTCATTTCATCGTTTAATCATAACTCCTTATCAAAATTATTTTTATTACTATTCTAAGTAAATAAATAAATATTTTATATATTAGAACAAATCTATTTCATCCTAGGAGAAAAGAGATGACTGCAATGAAGCAGAATTATTCTTTCCAATGAAATCATTCTCTTGGCTGCAAATTCTTGACTGTATAATGGAAATGACAGAAAAATCCAAAGTAATTTGACCTTTGATCTTAAAAGTTATTAACAGAACTTCAGTGTATAGCTTTCATCAATAGTTATAACTAGATTTTTGTATAATTTCACATTATTAGGCCTCAGATGAACTTTTTTGAAGTAATGACTTCATTCATGGATGATTATGACGTTTACCTTCAACTAAACATTATATACATATGTAGAAAGCACTTTTTACCTTCTTAGGCAACTCTACTATTTTATTATTGTTTGTTAATTTATGCGAATAATTTGGAAAGAAAATGCGCGTTAGATCTTTCACCAAATACTTAACTGTAATGAAACTCAAATTTCACCGTTGGTTGATTTTTACGATAGTTTCAATAAATATTGTGATTTATATGATCAGTTGTATCGTTAGTGAGGATAAATCGCCACATATCACATCAGTATTATTGAAAATGATACTATTTCATAAGAAAACTAACCAGTTTAGCTAGTCCAATGAAATACAGTTCTGTCTGTATCAGTTAAAGTCTATATGACTGATACTTAAAATTTCAACTGTATTTTCAAACATTATTTATATAACTTTTAAGACTGAATGATCTTTTGATACTGTATAAAAAACAATCCTTTGTTGAACATTGAACTTATGTTGCTTGTTTTCAGTGAATATTTTTTCAAGTTGTTATTCATCGTAGACTGACATCAGTTGGAGGAACGAAGGAAACTTGGGAGCACTGGATATCTGTTTCGTCCTAGCATGGGACTTCTCAGCAGTGCGCACGCACGACCCTACCAGGGATAGAACCAGCGACCTTCAGGTTCCCTGGCCAGCACGTTACCATTGAGCCACTGGGTCAGAATCCAACCATCCACATTTTCAACTTCTGTTAGCTCACAGTCATGGGTGCGCACTGCTGAGAAGTCCCGTACTAGTGGGACGAAACAGCTGTCGAGTGCTCTCAGGTTTCCATTGTTCCTCCAATTGACGCCAGTCTATGATGAATAACAACTTGAAATATTTCTAAATACTCGCAATCTCCTCGAAATTCAATTGAACTGGTCCTCATTGGTGACTAGCTTCGAGAGGTGATTCGCCAAGTTCCAGTGAGAAGTTGTGACCAATGGGGCTAGCCTAAAGGTCGTAAGGACAGTTACTCAACGATGAGATTGGGTGGCGGTTGAGCTATGTCGTGAACTGACAGAAGTTGGAAATATGGACCATTAGATCCTGACTCAGTGGCTCAGGGGTAACGTGCTGGCCACGGAACCTGGAGGTCTCGGGTTTGATGCCTGGTGTGGTCGTGGGTGCGCACTGTTGAGGAGTTCCACACTAGAACGAAACAGCTGTCCAGTGCCCCCGAATTTCCATTGTTCCTCCATCTGATGTCAATCTATGATGAATACCAACTCGAAATATTTTTTGTTTGATTAAAGTACTTACATTTAAAAGTTTTGAAATTATACTTGTATACTAAAGTCATTTGATGCGGTTATGAACCTCAATGAACTTAGGCGGCTAAGACGCATGTTAAACATGCCTAGTTACCATCTGCTTCATCGTAAAACGTTAGTTAAAGTACAGTCTGGAAGGAAAACGGACAAACTTCCTAGTTTGGATCTATTTGACACCAGAAACCAGTGGTGAGAGAATTCAGATGAAATGGCTAAGAATCATTGTAAGTAGGACTGATTTAATCCAGAACTATCTGATTCCTTTTTGTTCTGTTTTGACACCGCTCTACTTCTTGTGACTTATTTGCTCAATATTTCTTTAACTTTACTTTTGTACATTCTCGCTTGATATTTGATATGAAGTATGGCAATTTGGACTGTTATGAATTAATGCCAAATCTTGTATTGTAATTGTCTGTCTCTCTGACAAGAGATAAGAGTCTGACGTTTAAAACGTTGGGTACCGCACTGGAGTCTCTGTTGTAGCACGACAACTCACTAGAATGTATTGAAAACCAACTGACGAGAAGTAAATTGAACAAAACGCATGTCCGAGATTCCTTTACTAGCCACTATTTATCTTAAGTTTCATTTACTTAATACCCAACTTTTTCAAGCCACAAAATCACAAACTGGTTCGAATTAGCTCACTCACGGAAGAACATTCGACATTATTATTATTATTTGTTTCTTGGGTTCACAGTGGAACATACGGCTTCACTAGCACACCTCCATCCCACTCTCTTCTCTAAAGTCTTTCCAGTCTGGCTCTGCGACTATCCAGAAACCTTCATTTCTTCCTCACATGGTCTCCCTCTATGTCCCCTTCAGCTGGAATGCCCAGCTGGTCATTTCCCCTTTGGGTTACACTCGAAGGTGTGTCCTGGCCTAGCGCGTGATGTCCCTGATCGGTCTTCTCAGTCTATGTCCAATCCAATCCATCTCCACCTTCTTCTGTACATTTGTTGGGTGAAGGGTTCTTGCTTCTTTGGTTCATTGCCAGACCAGAGTTCCTTTTCGATGTATTGTTCTGCAATTGTTTACTAATTCTATTTAAAAAGAATACTAATCAGTTGTCATTAAAGTGAACAAACAAAAGAATTCCTTTATTCATTATTGTTTTTTCAATGTTGTGAATGTAATTGCGACACTTTGGTCAAACATAACATCGTCATTACTTTAAATAGTTAGTCTTTTTCTTTGGAATTCTACTCAAAGAAGGGTTATTTATTGAAAATTCAACACAAAATACATTGAATAATGAATAAAATATTAATTTTCATAATCAAAAGGTCAGTTGGTGTGAGAACAACTTAGGACGTTAGAAACCACTCAGGCTGCATGTCAGCCAACCAGATTCTGATTAATGGAACTGATTTAATTTTCTGAGACGGATTCATCTAGCTACGTCGCTGATGAGCTGGTTCGGCCTCAAATAAGAGGAACGGCTACTCAGTGTTTAAATTACTCTGATCTAGTCGGCTAAGTCTACAGATTAGTTCTGAATGGTTTCTAACTACTCACGTTATTTAGTAGTAGCATATTTTGTTAGTTCATGACACTTTTGTATACAAGATCACAACTTGTGATCCTAGTTGGTTGGGTGGTTTCCAACCGAAACTCCGTTGACACTACAGTCGGGCAAAAATGAATGGAATTATAATCTGTCAGACAATCCTAAAGCCTGAAAAACCACATTTTCATTTTGTTCGCTACTTTGTTCTGCTTTCTCATGAAGTTAGCCTTGTCTCATCTCAAGTTCTGTTTACTCTGCAATCGTTTTCAGTAGTTGAGAAACACTTCTTAAGAAGTTACTCATTTTCTTCCAACCTCAACTGAGCAAATGGACAAGCCCTCGGACCAGATTAGTTCTCGACTATCTGTAAGGAGAATGCCTACCACACAACAAAACAAATGCATCATTTAAAAAGTAATAGTTGTTAAACTTCTGAATACTCAGTCAGATGAAACTTTCTAAGGGGGTGGAGGACTACAAATTCACAAGTATTAACAAAACATCTGTGAAGAATCATATATTAGGATAAAGACAATGACAGTGCATTGAAACCTCCCTGGATTATAAGAAGGCTTTTCAGTAGCTTGACAACTACGAGAAGTTAGACAACACTTGATAAATGCTTTGTCTTGATTTACTACCCATCACGAAATATGAAATCCACT